GGGGGCGAAGGGGCCTTCCGAATCGTGCCGTCGGCGTTCCTTGGCAGCTTGCGCTTACCCTTTGGGCGACCCATGTGCCCGGAGCGCGTGTGCGTCTTTCGTTGCGTGCGTAAAGGGTGTGTGTGTGTGTGTGTCCTCTGGTGTGTGTGTGGCGGGAAAAAATTCCCCGAGGGCGTGTGAAACCACCCGAAATATCTCCGAATCCCGAGTTTTTTTTTTTAAATCGGAAAAAAATCATCGGTGGGAAATCACGAGAGGAATCGATTGCAGCACTTAATTTTTGAATCGTACGGTTGGATTGTCCCCAAGAAACTAAGCAAAATACCCTCCAATATCCGGTTTTTTGCCCATAACTCTGTTATTTTTTGTCAAATTGGAAATCGGAAAAAAATCATCGGTGGCTAATCACGAGAGCTGTCCAAATCCGGTCTCAGATTTTGTGTCTGCAAAAAACACCGCCCTCCAGAAAGTAAGCAAGATCTCTTGAATATCTGAACATATCGAGCGAAGAAAAAAAAAAAAATCTCCGTACGAAGAGGCGCCTTGAAACGTCGATTTTCACGGTATTTTCAGATTTCGGAATACCCCCACCCCGAGAAAAGTGCACCTTTGTGCAGGGGAAAATATTATGAATTTTTCCGGAAACAGACCATATGTGTGCGTGTTCTTTAGATCCTCAGATAGCTCTTTGCTAGATTATGGCATTTAGCAACTGACATACGGTTTAATGTGAAGCAAACAACAACAACAACAACAACATACCGGGCATCGGTACTATTCAATCGGCACTATTGCGGGCCCATTTCTGTACTGATACACAAAACCTTGAGGGTACTGGCAATAGTAGCCATGGGTGATGTCCGCTTGAATTTCCCTAGTACTGCTAACAAAACATCTCCGGCGCAGCAGCAGCATTCAGTGTGCGTGTCGATGTCTCCCCTTTTTTACCGAGAGAGGAAACACAAGCACCACCTGGTGCTGTTCACAAAAACATCTTTATTTAGTTTACGCGGTGCCCGCCGACGTGGCAACTTGATTATTCATCTTCTTACATTAGCTCAACAAATGATGCGAATGGTCAACAACCAGTAGTTTTCATTTTTTTTATTGTTTTTAGGGGTTCTGGAGGACGAAATTCCAAGACACGATTATAATTTGCCGGACAGATAACAGACTATTATATCGTTATATCATTATCTCCGCAGGTAAGATTCCGTGATTATAGATTGAATTTTCTTTCTAGGTGTTGGGGTAGGGGCTGCTTTGCGTCAGAGGTTGCGAAGTAGAGGCTGCTTCATTCAGGACTTTAAATGTTGAAGAACGCACAAGACATGCAGGACAGAAGGGGGATGGATCCCTTCTACAAACACATACACACGAGACCCCCTAGATCTCGTAGATCCGTATCTAGTTCTTCAAAACGTTTTTGGGGCGAAGTCTAAATTTGCTTGAAGGTTTATTCGTTCCTCATTAAATTCAGTGCCTGTCCCGCACAGGGATAAGATTATTCCGGAGTTGAAGGTAGATATTCTTTTACTACAATAAAAAAAAAATAGAACCTTCAAAACATAAAAAACCCATCAGAATCCTCACCTCAAGGAATTTTTCTATCCAGTTCTTTCGGGTGCAGCTACTGCTCGGCCCACTGCGCGGGGCTGGGCACCATCCGGCAGGGCCACGACGTCTTCCTCACGAAGAATGCTCAGGCCATGATGCCCGTGCCAGGCCCCGGGGTCTTCAACCCCAAAGAGCTGGCGGTCATCAACATCGGCAAGAAGCTGGGGGCGGTGCCGAACGAGGTGAGACAGCGGTTTAGCGGTTTGCTGTCAAAGTCGCGCGCAAGATATCACCCCCCCCCCCCCCCCCCCCCCCCCCCCCCCCCCCCCCCCCCCCCCCCCCCCCCCCCCCC